GGTCTATCTCTGAGCTTACTAGCTCTTTCCATTGGTTTATTTGTCTGTACCACACTGTTTTTTAAAATAGGGATTTATAAGTTGTCTTGATATCTAATAGGACATATCCTCCCCGCCCTTTTTTTTTAAAAGATTTTTTATTGGGGGGTCGGGGGAGGGAACAGCATTGGGGAATCAGGGAAGGGGAACACAAAAGTTGCTCTCCTTTTGTTCTTCAGTCTAGTTGTGGAGGACATCGCTTCACTGGCCCATGTTGGTATTGTGATCATTGCATTCTTTCCGGCTGAGGCAGATCGGTTGCCTACCATTGGACAGCCAATCACTCCAGCTCACAGCAGCTCACGTCGGCTGCCGGCCACACGTGGTAGCTTATGGCAGCCCACTGCAGCAGGGGCTGCAGCCTACGCCGTCACCAGCTCCTCAAGGCAGCCCAGCTCCAGGTTGAGCTGTTGTTCACCACCTTCGCTGTAGTGGGCGCAGCGTCACTAGCCCACATGTGGGATCTGCACCGGGGCCCTACTGCTCAGATCTGGCGTCCCAAGCCAGCTCTTAACTAATGTGCCACTCGGCCGGCCCTTGAATTTCTTTTACAAACTCATAACATATTATCTTAACACAGTTAGATTTGATTAGCACATGTTATATTTAGCATTTTACATCTATATTCATGTGAGATAGACCTATAATTTTATTCATATTGTCTTTGGTTTTAGAATAAACCAGCTTAGGGGAAATTATGTTTCTATTTTTCCTTATCTCTATTCTCAAATTTTCTACAATGTAAATGGAATGTGTCTATAAAATGCTGTTCTTAAAAAGTTACAACAGCCCATGTAGTGACATTAGCAGTCTTCCCTCTTTTCCTAATTTCTGGAATCTCTTGCATTAGCTAAGCATTAACTCATCTTTCAAAACTTGGTAGAATGCATCTGTAAGACCACCTGGGCCCTGGCGTCTGGGGAGGTAGAACGTCATCATTTACATTTAAAATGTTGCTTGGTCTCTTGTGCCAGGGCTGTGAATCAGCCTTGGGCTGCTACCCTGCAGGCTCATCTGCATCCTTTTGTCGCCTGGTCAGCTGGCCCTCCTGTCGTTGCTCCCTATGCCTCCTCCTCCACTTGTCTTTCCAGGCTCTCAAAGCAAACCCCTCACCACATCACCGGTCAGTTCTCCCGCCTTCTGCACAGGTTTGGGACAGTTGGTGCTCACCCTTCACTGACCCCTGCGTCTAGGTGTGCCCCTTGACCACTTTTTCTTCATTTCCATGTGAGGACCTTGGCCCTTCCCAGCAGGTTATCAAAGTGCACGGGAGGGCCTCTCAGAATGCCTGCTGTTCAGGCCCCTGCAGAGATTCGGACCCTGACTTTGCAACTGCACAGGCCTTACCAAAACCCCAGTGAGAGGGCCTGTCCTCAGCACCTGGTCTGCCCCATTTCTGTCACAACACACACTGCTTATTTCCTCCACAGCACCTTCCACAGTCTGTAGCTGTCTTGTATGTTTATCTGTCTCCTCCCCCTGCAGCTAGTATAGACACTTCCTAAGGGCAGGATGTAGACTGCCTTGTGGTCCATGCTGCCTCAGTGACGCACAAAGGAGGGGCTCTGCATCCTGCAAGAATGAAGGCTCGAGAGACTTACGTTGCTGGAGGATTTTCTGACGACTACGAGCCTTCCTAGTCTAGGCATTCTAAACATTCTTCCTTGGAGCAAACCAGAGGTCTGCATTTGACAGGGTGTTTTGGGGTCTAATTGAGTCGCCTTTTCTGAACTTCTTTGCTGCTGTACCACCAGGTTTCTTACCCGTGATGCAACCACAGACACAGAAGAGCCCCCTTGTGTTAAGGTAGGGAGGCCATCACGGGCATGTTCAGCGACATTACACTTCTCATAAAATAGACCCATAGATGAAAATATCCTCAACGACGGGTTTGTTTTTATGTTATCGTCACCGAGTCTCCTGACTGAGCTTGTTTGCTTCTGTGCTTTGGCCTTCAGAAGCTCAGAGCTAGAATTCCAGCTGCTACGTAGGGTTATATGAGATTGATCTCTGTGAGCTGTTTCTTCTCCTGCATTTGAATTTCTTCCCCACTCTAACTCTTTGCCCTGAGTACCTCAATTATTTATTTTATAGTAAGAGTTTCTCCTTTCTTGAGCACTTGCTATGTGCTAGGCAGTTTATTTATAGCATTTGTTTAATCTTCACAGCAAGCCCTGACATCGGACGTTGTCTGTCCTTTACAGATGAGGAGGCTGCAGCTCTCAAGGTCCCGTGTTTAGGTCACGCGGCTGGCAGGTGGAGAGCGGAGGCAAACCGTGCTCCACCTCCAGGTCCACTGCCACCTGCTATCCAGCCGACCTGAAGGGTGGCCGGCCGTCCCCGCACTGGTTAGCCAGATGCGTGTTAGGATGCAGGTTCCCGGGCACCACCCTGCCTGCTGCACAGGAACCACTGGGTCCTGGGAGGGCCAGCGGTCTACACTTGAACAGGTGTCCCAAGTGACTCACATGCTCCCCAAAGCTCAAGAATTCCTGCTCTCTCTCTGCTGAGACACTGCACGTGCCTTTCCACCAGCTTCTCCTTAACCAAACAGGCTTTTCTTTCAGTAAAACTTCACGTCTGCCCTGCTGCTGACCTTGGTTGTAGATAGATATACATGTGCATTTATTATTAATCATTCTGCCTATCTCCTCTTTGGTAATTTCTTTGAGGACATAGTTTCCCGAAGTATCCAGTATTTTTTAGCCCAGCAAAGAGAAATTTTAAGGGGACATGTTTACTGTGGTTGGTGGTCATGCGGAAGGGCTAGGACCTTGTTCTTTGTCGTTCCAGAGGGGAGACCCACACCTGTGGGGTGGGTGCTGCAGAGGGAAGGCTGTGGAGGTGGGGTGCTGTACTCTTCCATCGGACTGGTACAGGCAGCACACGCTCACCTGTAGGCCCAGAGGACACAGCCCTCAAGTTGCTCTCAAAGGGAGAGGACAGGGCAAGCAAGATGGTCAGTGCAGCGGTGGGCACCAAAGGGCAGCGGTGTGGAGTGTGGCAAAGCTTCCCAGAGGGAGGAGCCTCTGGACTGGCCTTGACAAAAGCACAGGAGTGCCCCGGCCACTGAGCACCACGTGACAGGCCCCCCCACCCTTACACCCGGCCTTGCAGGAGGAGCTGTGGTCCTGCCTACCTGAGCGTGTGATATGGGTGGCTGTCAGGACTGCTTGGGGTCTCCCTGAACCACTAGCTGCGAACTATGGTTAGGTAAGGTCTTGTGTTTGCTCTGATTTTCCCTGACATTTCATTTCCGACTGGCCTCCAGCCCTTTGGTGTCATGGCTGATGTGTACGGAAGCTAAGACTTGTGTGAGATGAGGGTGCTGTCCTTACTGCTCCATCTAGGGAGGAGTTTTCATGGGGATTTACAAGCCCTGCAGCAAGTAGCCGGCCAGCTTTCTCCCCCCAGAGTGGTGGGTGGCTCAGTGGGCCTGGTCCCTGGGGTGCCGGCCATGCCCAGCCTGGGGCCTGACCAGGGCCTGTCTGGTTGTTGCAGTGCAGGCCACCTGGATGACCTATGACATGGTGGTGGTGCGCACCAACCCCTCGCTGGCCGAGGCCATGCGCCGGCTGGAGGACGCCTTCCTCAACTGCAAGGAGGAGATGGAGAAGAAATGGCAGGAGGTGCTCCGCGAGACCAAACCCGCTAGTGAGCAGTAGACCCCTGGCTGCCTGGAGCGTGGAGGGCAGGGCCTTCTCGGCCTGGCGAGGACAGCGGCCCAGGTGTGGGCCGTGCACAGCACTGGTCTCTCAATAAACTGATTTTCAAACACAGCTTGAGGACCCTTCTGTCCCACCCGGCTGCATGTTGAACCTTGTGAACAAAACACGGGAAGTGCAATAATGCTGTCAGTGAATTACACGGATTGCGTGCCAAGCACAGAATAAAGAGCAAAAGGGGGCAGACAGGGACAACAGATCAGAGGGTGGGACGGGCCGCAGTATTCACATTTATTTACCTTCCGTGGAGGGTTCCAAAGTGGGTAAAGGGAACGTTATTTATTCAATTCTGTATCCTGGGCTATGCCAGGTGCTCACATAGGTGACCTGTGTCCTCACAGCTCGGAGTGACACGTCCATCATCCCCACTTCACAGGTGAGAACACAAAGGTAGATGTCTCGTCCAAGTCCACACAGCTAACAAGGGGCAGAGCTGGGGCGCAGGCCTGGTCTCACTTAAGGGCAGGAAGTGGAAGGTCTGAGCAGGTGGGACAGACCCCACAGGGTGCAGAGGGGCATGAGCCCGTGTGGTCCTGGCCAGGTCTGGGCTGGGGTTATGTGCAGGGGCTGCAGACAGCAGAGCAGTTTCACATATAGGGGTGCCAAGCCCTTGAGAACCAATCCGACAAAGGAGAGTAGGGTTGTTTCTGGGGAGCCAAGCCCTGCCCCAAGGCCTCAGGATGAGCAGAAAGCCCCAGAGGCGAGGATGTTTTCCTGGGGACTTCTTTGTTCTCTGTTCCGCCTTCCCACCCCGACATGGGCCCTGTGCCCAGCGTGTAGCCCCCAGGAAGCACGAATGCGTTCCCAGCCATCTCCTTCCTCAGCCAGCCACATCCTGGTCCTTGGGGACGCATTGGTCCCTGGTTCAAAGAGCACCAGTGTCTCGCAGGCAGATCTCCAGGCATCGTGGTTGGTGCTGTGAGAGGGGCGCCTGGGCTGGGGGAGCCCATGGCAGGGGTGCCCTGCCTCCAGGAGCGTCTGTGAGTGTCCCCAGGCGGTGGGCATGGACTCATCAGAAAGGCAGGAGGCTCAGTGGGTGTGGTAGGGACCCCCAGCGACCAGACCACAGGTGCAGAGAGCCTGGGCTCCCTGCTGGGAGAGGGAGGTGGGTGGAAGGGGAAATGAGAGGCTTACTGTGACCCAAGAGGAAAGCTGTCCCATAGACAGGAGCAGCCACCTGCCTGCGCCCCCGCCTCCCTCACACCCCCGCCCAGGGTCTGCCTGGTGGCCAGCAGCGGCTCAGAGGGCAGTCTGGAGCGGGTGCACGGGGGGCAGAGTCAGGATGAACGGACAGAGGACCCCTTGGTTCCCCAGGGGGAAGGGCTGCAGCTCCCTGGCCTGGAACTGGGCAGTCCCTTCGGAGACTGTAAAGGTGGCCGTGACCTGGTGGTTGAGGCAGTAGATGGTGTTGCCCAGCGCGGCGCAGCGCAGCGGGACGGGGTCCGGCAGGGGCAGGGGGGCAGCTCGGCTCCAGGAGCCCGTCACCGTGTTGTAACGCATGACCGCGGCGCCCACGCCACGCAGCAGGTCGAAGCGGTACAGGAAGCCCCCCAGCGCCACCATGTCGCTGGAACGCCGGTGGCTGGCACTGTAGGGGCACTCGTCCCACGCGTCTTTCATGGGGCTGTACCTCAGCAAGCGGTAGAAGAGGTGGCCCCCAGTGACGTAGATGTCCCCACGGCAGGCCACAGCCTCATGTGCCACGGGGAAGGTGCCTGCAGGCAGGGGCGCGCGTGAGGCCCAGGTGTCGGTGCGGGGGTCGTAGCGCTCCATGCTGTACAGGCACTCGCCCCCGACGGCGTAGAGCATCCCGTCCAGGGCCACCAGCTTGAGCTGGGCCCGGGCCTGCAGCATGGGCCGCACCTGGCTCCAGGTGTCGGTCAGAGGGTTGTAGCAGAAGACCTCGTTGGAGCAGACGGCCTTGGCGCCCGACCCGCGGATGCCGCCCGCCAGGAACAGGTAGTTGTGCATGGTGCAGAGGCCGCAGCCCCGCAGCGGGGCCTCCTCCGGCACCCGCGTCAGCGGCCGCCACTCCTTCTCTCGCGGGTGGAACACGTGCAGGTGCGCCGACGGAGGCTGGGGCGCGGGCCCCGCGGCAGGGGCGTCCTCCCCGCGAAGGCCCCTCGAGAGCCCTGCGCGGCTCGCCTGGTAGAGGCTGGGCAGCACGAGGACCCCCAGCACCGTCTGGCCCCGGCCAGTGCGCAAGCTCAGGATTCGCTCGCGGTCGGCCGCGCTCAGCTGCCGGTAGAGGTTTGGGTCCCTCAGCACATGCAGCAGGTTGTCGCTCATCAGGGCGTAGGTGTCCCGGGCCAGGCCGCGCTCCCCGTGCTGCTGGGCGAAGGCCAGCGCGTCCAGGCAGCTGCCCAGGTCGAGCCGGCTCCGCACAGCTGCCGCCGAGGCCGGCTCCCCGGCTGAGGGGCCGGGCTTCCGGGGCCCCTCCGTCACCCCCCAGCCCCCCCGCCTCTGCAGGAACGCCATGAGCCTGCGGTCCTGCTTCTGCTTCTCTGTGAGGACTTCCCTGCTGCCCACAGGGCTGAGCCCCTCCCCTGGCGCCTGTCCCGGGGCCGCTTGGCTGAGCTTCTGCTCAGAGCTCTCGGCTATTTCGCACATGCTGCGTTTCCGGGGCCTGGGGACAGGCTGTGGGTCCCGCCTGGCAGCGGGGGAGGGTGCAGGGACAGGCTTCGTTGACTCAGGGGGCTGTGAGGGGCCCCTGGGCACTTCAGCTCCGGGCAGCAGCGAGTCCAGACATTTCTCCTCCGTTCCATCTCCTCTGGGGCCTCCAGGGGGGCCTGGGGTGGGAGCCTCAGCCAGGCCCCCTGTGTCTGCCCCCGAGGAGCCGTTCCTGTCCACCAGGCTGGGGATGGCCCCTTCCGGGGGAGAACTAGACTCGGTGTTCTCAGAGGGTGTGGAAGCGCTGGACTCTCTGGGGCCATCCGGAGCTGCACTTGGGACTGTCCCCTTAGACCTCTCTTGCCTTGGGAAGGGGTGACTCCTAAGAACCATTGAAATAAGGTTTCCCCAGCTAGTTGAGCTCTGCCCCTCCTGGTGGCCCTTGCAGAGAGCCACACTGGGTTCTGGACATGCAGGTGTTGATTCACTAGTGGGGACGGAGGCTGGGGCTGCGGCTGAGGCTGGGGCTGCAGCTGGAGCTGGGGCTGGGGCTGGGTCTGGGGCTGGGGCTGGGGCTGACACTGAGGCTGCGGCTGGGGCTGCGGCTGGGGCTGGGGCTGGGGCTCGGGCTC